AAAAAATACTATATATATATTGATTTCAGAGAGGAAAGGAGAGGGAGAGAACGATAGAAACATGAATGATGAGAGAGAATCATTAATCGGTTGCCTCCTGCATGCCCCACACTGGGGATCGGGCCCACAACCCTGGCACGTGCCCTGACAGGGAATTGAACTGTGACCTCCAGGTTCATAGGTTGACACTGAACCACTGAACCACACCAGCCGGGCTTAGGATGTTAAGATATAATTCACATATGATACAATTCACCCATTAAACATGTACAACTCAATTTGTTTTGGTATATTAGAGTATTAATATTTTAAAATCGTAGTAAAATAGATAAAACAAAATTTGTCATCTTCACCATTTTAAGTGTACAATTTAGTCAGTGCCATTAATTACCTTCACGATGTTGTATAACCATCAACACGATCTATTTCCAAACTTTTCCTTCACTCCAAACAAAACGCTTAGGATATTGCTATGCTATAATTAGGCTTAGACTAAAAGAATTTTGTCTGTAAAAGAGGGTGTTTAATATCATCACCCTCTGCCCCTGGTTCCCCACCCCAGGTGTTCTTACAAGTCCCTGTTGTATATCTGCACCTGAGCTGGGCAGCAACAGCCTGGTGGTGAATCCCATCATTACTTCAGGCTCTGTTCTACTCTGCTCCTCTCCAAGCCCGAGGGATGGGCAGCTGGAGCTCCCTTCTCTCCGAGATCTCAGAGGCAGAGGAAATGACACAAGAGGCGAGGCCTTAGATGATAAGTCCTGCATTTTGCACAAGAGATTATTCAACTAATCCCTTTTATCTCCATTCCCCACTCTTATTTCCAACTCCCACAGGCAATCATTTCCATGTGTTTGATGTACATTATTTTGTTTTATGCTATCATAAAATGTATAGCAATTTTGTTTCCTGCATTTTTAAGTTGTGTAAGTTATCTAGGCCTGAACTGAAACTGGCCTTTCCCCACATAGCCTTCTGGACACGCCTCCCTGACTTACATTAAGGAAAAAAATACACATATATCTCTTCACTAATGATCTTACCTTCCACAATGTCTTTTATGAGCAGTATATAGCTTTCAAGAAAAACTATACTCCCTTTCCTGGTTCCTCTCTTTTAACTTCTAAGTCATTATTCCAGAGGCTCTGTGTCCCTTAGGGTTCTTGGCTGCAAGCAACAGATGCTGATTCTAATTTAGAGGAAAAGGAATGTACTGAACACACATTAGGTAGCTCACAGAATCGTGGGAAAGCTACAAGTCCTAGGTGGAAGGAGGCTACATACCCGGAGGTTCCAGAACATGTCTGGAAAGGTCACTGTTGCTGCCAGGGAAGAGCAGGCTCTGTACCACACCCCCCATCACTGCATGTAGGATGGTGCCCTGTCCCCACTGCCTTTGGAGATTGGATGTGGCACCAGAATGGGTTTGCCACTCTTCCTTGGCTTTGGGTCAAATTCTGGGGCTGGTGCATCTGAATGGCCAAACCTACTAGGCCTGCAAAAAAAAAA